TTGGAGAACTCCTCCAAGAGCATGAAACATATAGAGCAGTGGCTCCCAGACTTTGGTTCTCTGAGTGTTTTGAACTTCAACTCCCAGAAGCCCCATACAAGAATTCTGGCAGTTGAAGTCCAAAAGATCTGAATGACCAAAGTCTGGGAATCACTGGAGAGGAATCACCATCCCAGTGACATGGGATCATCAGCCCTTCCCATTTATGTGACCAGCAAGAGAAGCTCACATTGGGAAGAGGAAAGATAAACTTGCCTTCATTTCCGTTTGTATCCTAATGAGTCAAGAGATGGGACCCATGTAGCTGATTTTTTTGTTTGGTCTCCTTTCATTTCTAAACTAGTTCATATGCACTAGCAAGTTACAGTGTTGTTCACTCCCTTCCAGAGCACTGAGGGCCTCCAAATCAATAGGAGCTATCCACCATCCACTTGCCCGATCCTTGATCTTGATGGGCAATAGGGTGATGGCTGCCATGTTCAAAGAACCCAATTATATTTCTGGTCAGGAGGCTCACCGGTAGTAACCCGTGCCCCCGGTCTCCCGGTTGCCATACCCAAGAAAATGACCGAGGTGCCATGTGAGGTTGTCTTGTGTGTCACATGTATTCAAGGGAAATACATATGCAGGACAACCAACAGCAATGAGCCCAACTGAGATGTCAACACAATCCTTGGCTGTCACATCAAGTACGCAGTGAGGGCTCAGTCAAAACTCATTCTTACTGAAGTTGGAGCAAGCTTATTTTCTGCTGCTCCAGAGAGTAGGACACAAAGCAATGGATTAAAACTATAGGAAGAGAGATTCCATATCAATGTTAGGAAGAACTTCCTGACAGTAAGAGCTGTTCGAAAGTGGAAGACGCTCCCTCGGAGTCTGGTGGAGTCTCCTTCTTTGGAGGTTGTTAAACAGGTTGGATGGCCATCTGTCGGGGGAGCTTTGATTGTGTGTTCTTGCATGGCAGAATGGGGTTGGACTGGATGGCCCTTGAGGTTTCTTCCAACTCTACGATTCTATGATTCTATTAAACATGATTAGGAGCCATGATTTATACTTTGGCTACGTAATTCTTGAGGGTAGGGGGTAATTTTCCTCTGTTCCTATCCTGATATAGGTTATGCCAGGCTTGCAGGAGGAGAAGATAGCTGGCAAAATGAGATGGAGTAGCTGCCATCAATCCAAGGCAGGTGCTTTGGCACATAATATGCTTGAGTTAACCCAAGAGTTCTTAAAAGGAGCTTATTTATCCATGGTTTATACACACCCATGGAGAACATTTCAAAGGAAAGTTCACAAGGAACACAGAGCAACCTCGTAAAATGGCAAACTCTCTCACTTCACACAATTATAGCACTATGATACCACTTTAACCATCATGGGTCCATCCTATGGAATCCTGGAATCTCCACTTTATGAAGGGGTTTTTTTTAGAATTCTCAGCCAGAGAGCTCTGGTGCCTTATGAAACTACAAATCCCAGGACTCCTTAGGATGTAGCCATGATAGTTAAAGTGGTATTGCACACTTATAATTCTGTAGTATGAAAGAGACCAGTCCAACCTCCTTTCCTCATGTCATTGTGTTGTCACATTTGCAATAATGTAGCATCATGAAGGCAGGAGTCTTGCCATGCATTGTGTAGGATAAGGCATGCATAGAAAATCTTTGGCCCACATGAAGCTTTGGACCTCAACTCCCAGAAGCTTAAGCCATCAGGGTCCATGGTAAGGAATTTCGGGAACTGTGGTCCCAAAAGCTCAGTGTATCATCAGTGGGATAAGGGCTTGTTATTACTCTTGACTTATGACTTATGGGTTTTCTTGGCTTCTGATTTATGGGATATGTTCAGGCAAAGATTGCCATTGCCTTCCTCTCAGGCTGAGAGACTATAACTTGTCTAAGGTCTACCAATGGGTTTCTACAGCTCATTGAGGATTTGAACCCTGAACTCCCAGAGTCCTAATCCAACACTCAAACCACTACATCATCCTGGCTTGCAAGGCATAAGGGTTGTATGTGTGTGTGTTGTGTGCCTTCAAGTCGTTTCCAACTTATGGCAACCCTAAGGCAATCCTATCATGGGGTTTTCTTGGCAAGAGTAGTTCAGAGGAGGTTTGCCATTGCCTTCTCCTGAAGCTGAGAGTGTGTGACTTTCCCATTGAGTTTCATGACTGAGCTGAGAATCAAATCCTGGTCTCCAGAGTTGTAGTCCAACACTCAAACTACTACGTCACACTGGCTCTCAAGAGTTACTGCGACCTAAAAACAAATACTAGTTCTAAATACAGCAGACCCATTGAACGAATTAGTTGAAAGATAAGTCAACACTCATGTAAATCCCATGGTATCAGTGGTCCTACTCTAAATAGGAGTAGCCCTCCTATTTAGACTGAGACCCATCATTTCAGACTTATCATTTCCATTGGACTGAGACCAATGCAACATGGAAGTACATGGAGAACACTTATTGTGGTTCTCGGGATCTACAGACCTTTGTGTAGACCACTTTCTGAGCTAGAGATGTGAAAGTCTGGGGAAGCAATGGAAAGGTCATATTCCCCTTGTTCCCCCAAGAAACGTGTGGGAAAGGGCTTTTTCCCCTCTTCCCTCCACACACCCCTGTCCCATTTTTCCAAACATGCCCACCTTTGGTCTCAATGATATTGCTTCATGTCTTTCCACGGTCTTCTATCCAAAAAACACAAAATTCCACACACAGAAAATAATAGCATGTCCAGTAAAGGCTACTCTAAAGATCTTTTCTGGAAGCAAGGAGTTTTATCCAGATGCTTTCTGGATTGCAGGCTGTTTTGTTCATAGTCAGGGAACCACCCAAATCCATCGAAGCCCTTGCCTGGATGGTGTCTTCCATGAGCTGTGAGATTTGAAAGCTGTGACATTCTTCCTTGGATGCCCCTTGTTTTTATACAGCCCTGACACAGAGCTCTGTGATACTCCAAAGCGTGTGCGTATTTCCTACAGCACCTTCAATTGGGCCCAGTGCAAGATATTTTATCTGCTTTGTATCTTCAATGGTTAATGCTATTATTATTATTATTATTATTATTATTATTATTATTATTATTATTATTATTAATCTTTTTTATACCAACCATCTGGTGGCTCACGATTGTGTACAAAAAGAATAGCATATAAAAATGATTAAATATTAAAGTAAATAGAGTAAAGCCAGTATACTATTCCTTTTTTTTCAGGAAATTAAAAAAGAAAGGCACAATTCATTCTACTTTCCCTTTATCAAATAAGGTAACAATAGCAGAGTTCTCAGACTATATTGCTAAGAAGACAACTTGAGTGACACCAAATTTGAATTTCTAATAGTGAATTCACGCTTTCTGCTGACCACCCTACGGAAATCTAATCTATGATACATGATCTTCTATCTTGGCACTAGCAATTTGACTGGATGTTGTGTTTGTTTTATGGCTGGAAGTGTCAATCGGCAGACTTTGAGGTCCTTGCCTCTGTCCAGTGAGTAAGGCTGCATCCACACTGTAGAAATAATGCAGTTTGACACTGCTTTAACTGCCATGGTTCAATGCTATGGTTTCTGGGGTCTGTGGTTTTGTGAGACATTTAGCCTTCTCTGTCAGAGAGCTCTGGTGCCATGACAAACTACAGTTCCCAGGATTCCATAGGACTGAGCCATGGGAGTTAAAGTAGTGTCAAACCAGATTATTTCTACAGTACGGATGCACCCTAAGCCTCTCCTGAAAGCATGCTCTGAGGAGAAGAGGCAAGGAGAGCCTTCTCTCAGCCTTGGAATACAAACCTCATCATCCCCACTGATGCTGGTGTGCTAGTGGGGGATGGAGGGAGTTGTAGTCCAGCCCTTTGGGATGTTGCCTTTGGGGAAAACTGAGTTAAGAAACTCTGTCTGGGGATGCTGGGAGTTGTAAACCAAGGTGGATCTTGGTTGATCTGGATTTATTGGGACATAGATGTCTTGGTGATCTGCAGGAGATCACTAAGGATTTCTGAGTCCCAGGCCTTTAGCAATAGCAGCAATGTGTTGCCTCAGTTCAGCTTCTGAAATAAAGAAAAATTGGACTGGTTGGCAGGTTCAGCTGTTTATTTATCGGACTCACAATGAGACACAAATTAGCTCACAGAAATACTATCTTTTTTAATAAAAAAATTAAATATTATGATTAAAACACAAGACAAAATTCGCTATTAAAACAGAATTAAATTAAACATGACTGCATTAATTTTAAATTGCATTAAAATTGAAACAAATAAGCAATTAAATTTAAATGGAACTAACTTAAATCCTGGAGTTCTAGGAAGAAACCGGCAGATCCTGTAAGCTGGAGCTCTGCCCATCCTTGTCCTGGTGACTCATTCTGTTCTTTTTTCCTTTTGCAACTGGAGGGGGAATCCTGAAGCTACTCCAAATGTTGTTGGACTACATCTCCCATCATGCCTGACTATTGACCATGCTGGGTAAGGCTGATGGGAGTGGGGTCAAGTGACATCTGGAGAGACACAAGTCCCCCAAACTTATTTTAGAACAAATGATAAAAGAGTGAACAAGAGGAATACCAAGGAGCCCACTGTCAAGGTCATCTTAAAAAATGTGTCTAGTAGGGTAGGAGGGATAGGATGATAATGGTAGGAGACAGATCGTTGTTGTTGTTGTTGTTGTTGTTGTTGTTGTGTGCCTTCCTCATTTCCAACTTACTTTGATCTTAATTCCCTGCTCAGCCATGGAACCCACTAGGTGACCTTGGGCAAGTCACATCTTCTCAGCCTCAGAGGATGGTAAGCACAAACCACCTCTGAACAAATCTTGCCAAGAAAATCCCAGGACAGGGTCGCCTTGTGTTGTGTGCCTTCAAGTCATTTTCAAGTTATGGCGACCCTAAAGTGAACGTATCATGGGATTTCCCTGGCAAGATATATTGAGAGGAGATTTGCCACTGCCTTCCCCTGAAGCTGAGAGAGTGTGAGTTGCCCAAGGTCAACCAGTGGGTTTCATGACCAAGTTGGAAATTGAACCCTGGCCTCCAGAGTCGGAGTCCAGTGCTCAAATCACTGTGCCACGCTGGCTCTCATAATTTGCCGTAATTCAGAAATGACTGGAAGGCACCCAACAACAACAAGGAAAACCTATCACATATTTCCTTGGCAAGGCCTGTCCAAAGGGGCTTTGTCTTTGCCTTCATCCAGGGCTCAGAGAAAGTGTGACTTGCCCAAGGTCACCCAGTGGGTTTCCATGGCTGAGCAAGGATTCGAACTCTGGCTCCAGTGTCCTAGTCTAACGCTCAAACTACTACACCACGCTGGCTCTCAAGGTTACTTTATTCTCCAGATATTCAGCAGCCATGGTACCTTCTACCCTACCCCCCCCTTTTTTTTTTTTTTTTTTTTTTCCTCCTCTGGCTCTATGGAAGGAACTCAGAGCTTCTCCTGCATTAAACCATCTCATGTTCACTATACTGGCTCCTGTTTCCATTAAGCACCCATCTAGTTAAAGGCTGTAAAGCAATGCCTTATTAAGAAATGCAACACAGCCCTCTGCTGGCAAGCAAAGAGGACACAGAAGAAATCTCTGACTTCTCCACTCAAAAGGTCTTCTTCCAAGCCTTCTCCATCATACCCTCCAACTGTCCTGATTTGGCAGTCCCAATTAGTTCTTCGCCATCCCACTTTATCACCTGGTTTTAAAATGTCCCAGTTTCTCTCTTCTGATCCCACTTCCCCCCCTTTGTCCTCAGTTGAGCTCAATTGCTGCAAACTGGGTTCAAAGTGCAAAAGTAGTTTGCACTCAACTTAGCAAAAGGGAGAGAAGGGAGCAGTCCTTTCACCCACTAAGCAACTTAAGCAGGGATTTACTACTCTTCTGTACAACACCATGGGGAGTCAAGGAACCTTGTTTGCTTCCATGCAACCCAAAGTGTCCCATGGACCACATGCAGTTCCCAAGGCCGAAACTCAAATATCTGATCCTGGCATGGCTACCACTGGACAGAGAGGAGCATTGCACCTGGTCTCCAGCTAGTGATGGCCTTCTGCTGCTATCTGACCTGCCATCAGGGCTCGCCAACAGACAAAATGGCATAAGCAGCCACATTTGAGACACACACACACACACACATTTGTGTTTTTGGCCCCAGGGACTCCTTGCACTATGCTTCTGCTGACCACTCTGGAGGTTTTAAAAAAGTACTACTGGTCTAGGAATCAGTTCCAAATCCTTTCCTCTAGACTGGACCTGGGCCAGTGGTGAGAGAACATGCCTCTCCAACAATAAGAGTGATTTCCCCCATGTAGGGTTTTTCTAGAGGATTCCCAAAGTGCTTCTAGCTCTTGATTGTGGTGCGGTCCCAAATAGTCTTGAGGAATGGAAATTTGAAAATTCCTAGCTTCTCAGCACTTTACCAGCCTGGGGGGGTTTCAAAAAATGAACATAGCAACCCCATTCATTCATTCATTCATGCATTCATTCATGCATACACAGACACACCGCAACATCCAAAATGAATACCTAGAGCAATTGCATGACTTTATAAAATATGACAAGGAGGTGTGGGAGGGCAAGCCTAGGAATAAGTTGATATGTTCCCATTTCTTTACATCCCAGAAAGCCGAGCCCAAAGTTGTTGTCACATTTTGCCTAACACAAGGCAAATATTTGGGAATCTGTTCAGATGCAACATCCTTGAGGAACGGCTAAGGGAAGAATTTCAAGGCATTTTATTAAACTTCTCAAGAGGAGGGAGGAGGTTCTATGTACCACTAAATCACCACCAAATTTCATCCCAAAGCAAAAAACTAAAATGGGTTTGGAAGGTCCTGCCCAGGCACAGAAAGATTTATTTTGGGAATGCTGATATAAAACCTTTTAGACATTAGTATCATTTCTCTGGGTGGGGTAAAGGATAACTTAAAGGCTGGAAGTATCACTTGATATCTCCTCACCAACAAAGCCCCTCTGATCTTTCATGGTGTAATCTACAGAATCATATAGATCTCCCTTCCTTGTTATGAGAGATTGAAGAAATGGTGGGAAGGAAGAGAGCTAAAGAAAGGAGTCCCTGGGTCTCTGGAAATGGCTGGCAGGTTGAGGAGAACCGAAGTCACTTCTGAAGGTCAGCCTTTGTCAATGATGACTAATGTCGATGTCAATGGGATGGTGAATCTACTCCAGATCTTAATTCAGGCATTAAAAGTCCTACTAAGCCTGAATTAAAACCTAGCATGAATGCACCACTCAACTGATATACAACCTACCAACACAACTGCCCTTTTGTATCTCCATGGTTGTCCATCTCCTGGCTGGTCCCAGAAGTTCTTCTTCTGTCCACTGTCCACAGTCCACTACCAACCATCACCACCCCAGTTCCCCCGACAATGTAGCAAGTTCCAAGAAATTGTTGGAGAAACGTTCACCCAAGCTTCTGCCCAACTGTGAAAACGGATGGGTACAAAGATATCCTGCCTAAAAAGGAAGCAAGGATTTGGTGGCCAACCAGCATTTCTTTAATGGAGCATACCAAGTGCTACCTTTTGAGGCTTCAATCCAGAGAGCTCCACACTGCACTGTGAAAAACCTTTCAAGAGGGATCTTTGATTTTTCTTAATCCTACCCTCTGCTGCTGACTTGGAAGAGGCTCTGTCTCAGCGGTCAAGAGCCCAAGAAAGACACACGACAGACACTTCTCTGGGACACCCCTTTGCAAGCCAGAACCAAATCCAAATCAGGGACAGGACCTTCGGATGGTGTCAGGGCTTGGACCACCAAGGATCTCTGGACCAATGGATGCTGGGAAAAACCACACAGGTACCCAAGGCATTCTCCAACTGTTTTCAGGTCGGAGGATGGAAATGATATTTCCTGCTCTTCATCCCACGTTGGCTGGACTTTTAATGTCACCTCTGTACCAGAGGATTCTGGGTGACCAACAAGCACAAAAGCCAAGGCTGGCTGGGATATTTTATTTACATTTTCTAATCAGAGCGTTGTAAATTATTGTACCACTGTAGTACTATTTATTATTGTTATTTAAAAATATATTGATGAAGTGTCCTTCAGTCCACGGAGGCATCCGGGACAATTTTTAAAACAACCACAATGGTGGGAGAAAATACATTTAGGAAAAGACCCACAGGAGATCTCTATTTTGAGGCTGTTTTCTACCACAGTACCAAACATACGCAACCCTTTTCCTTCCTTCTTTTCTTCTTTGCCAGGCAAACAAAATGTTTGGTTGCTCTTTTGCTTCACCACACGGCGGTGCCCTTATACAAGGGAAAAAACTATTACAAGGAATTCTCCCCAGAGAGATTTCCTATTGCAATAATTCTGACAAATCCAATTCATCATTCTCGTCACAAGCAGTTTAGTTCCATTGAGCAAGCTGCGACTGACCTCTGAGTAAACCTGTTGAGGATTATACTATAGGAGGGTGTGCCGATACACTTTTGCCATTAAAGTAAGCTCAGTTTGAAGACACTTACTTCCATGTAAACATGCATCTCTAGGACTGTGCTCTTAGGTCCTCAGATAGAAGAACTTGGAATGGAAACTCCATAACCAAAAATGATTCTGAGAACATTGTTCTTTTTAAAGATGATGATCATGATGATGATGATGATGATGATCATGATCACAGTCATGATGTTTTCAGATTTGAAAATGTCTTCAAGTTTATCCCAAACTTTGCAATTTTGGTTTTTTCCATGAACAACCTCAAATGCAAAGATTTCAAGCATTCCCTTTTTAAAAAAAAATGTTATAAAGGAAACAGTCCTTAATGTTTATTAAGCACCCAATAAAATAATGTTGTGAAGTCGTAGGCTTTCATGGCCGGCATCCATAGTTTTTTG